ATATATATATATATATATATATATATATATATATATATATTACATTAGTGATAGCAAAAATGCACTTAATAAATGTATGAATAAACAGGATTAATTTAGATGAAAAATAGACAACACCCACCTTTTTGTAGGACACGTACAAAAGGGGATGGTGTAAGGAGCGCAAACAAGCAGAAGAAGAAATAAAAAGGAGGGGCTCCTGATCTTAAAGTCACATGCTTATATTGATCACAGTGGTTTCTAAAAATATTTACAGTCAGGTATATGTACAATCCAAACAACAAAATACAAATTCAAGTTGCATCTTCAATCAAAGTTATATAGGCCAAGTTTTACAGCCCATAATGAGTCAACAGTATAACAACTCGTATGGACTATGCTGTATCACACTTGTTATAAAGGAGCTCATGTAATAAGTTTGTTACATCATGTCTGTTGGCTGCCCACAATCCCATATGACATCATGCCACCACATATGTGTAGACCATACAACCATACATTAATTAGACCGTTGCCTGCGTTATGCCAAGCATGAGTCATTGTGAGTAGAGCTGGTGGGTGGGCGGGAAGGCTTTTTTAACTTGATCTTCTTAGTGTGACTCACTTACTTGTGTTTTGGCTCCCCCTGCAGAGAACATGCAGTTTCGGGGGATTTGACCTGTCCAACCGTTCTCTCCATGTGGTCAACACGTGCTCCGAGGCTAATGTAAGTGCTGGGAGCCTGCTGAAGTACACAAGACTTTGAGTAGCACAACCTGGATTCTTACTGTCACACAAAATCAGCATTTAATTAATTATTTATTTACTTATTCGCTCAGTGTCCTTTGATTCTACCTGCTTCTGAACCATTTCCCATTGTCTCTCCTGCCTTTTTTTTTGTGCCGTGTCCCTCGTCTCGATCCGAGACTCAACTTGCTTCTTTCTCCCATTCTCAATTTTGCAGAACAAAGAACAGGAGGCGATTTACAGAGAGGTGGTCAAATCTCCCACCGCATCGAGGATCTCGCTAGGCAAGAAAGTCAAGTCCGTGAAGGAGACGATGAGGAAACGCATGTCGAAGAAATACAGCAGCTCTCTGTCTGAGCAGGTTAGATGGACGCTTTCTGAAGGCGTTATTTGTGGAAACTTCAGATGGCATTTAATGCTGTCTCCTATTTTAGGAGCTTGAAGCTTCACTCAAACAGTAAAAACAGTTGAAGCACAACTTTATTTAAAAAGGAGCTGAGAAGACATGGTTTGCTGCGATCCGCCTGTAAACTGTCAAGCAGACGCTTAATATTTTTTAGTATAAAACACATGTCTGAGTGGGTGGGGGTATTTGTGTTAGTTACAGAGCAAACACTGGTTCTTTAAACATGTTCTCCCACTTCTTTTCTTGGACCTGTAGTTGGGTGGAGTGTGTGCTTCATGTTGAGCTCACAGTGATGTAATTGTCCCTCGGGCTTCCTCCTATTGTAGGAAGCAGAAAGCCTAAAAAAATAAAAGTTTTGAAAATATGACTGAATGGGATAATTTGTGTCTTTTAAATGGGGTTCTCTTGAACTGTAACGAAAATGCAGTTTTTTTCCTTCCATGTTTTAAAATAGAGGACGAATACTGCGTGTAGACTGACTAATGTTGAAAATGTGTTTATACGCAATATTTGGCTGACAGTTGTTTCATCTAACGGGTCAAACGGTGAAGATGTTTAAGTGACTCCACAGTGCCATCTAGTGGATCATTTGAACTTGTACAGTAAATGATTGTGCAGACCCCGCCTCTCGCACAGTGATATCTGGACATGGACACCAGTAACCCCCGCAACCTGAAAAGGAAGAAGCAGGTTAAAGATAATGGATGGATGGAAATGATTGAATGTCATGCCAATGGACATCAAATATTAACAGACCATCGGCTTATATTATTTGTTTTGCATCCTGAATAATATTTTAGCCAAATAAAAAAATATATATTCATAAATACTGAGCAGGATGTCTACTCTGAAAAAAAAAAATCCTGGTTGTTTGTGCAACAAAGTTAAGTCAGGTCCTCTGGATGTTTTTTTTTTTTTTGTTGAAATGTTTTGTCCTTCATCCAAAGGACTTCATCAGTCCGAGTAGCCACAATAAACTCAGTCCCATAAGTGGCTTACTCACATAGTGGGCCAACCAGTCTGCTGGTGATAAGATGGTTTCTGGAGTCTGTCGTCTCCCCCTGTCGACTCCTCTGAGGCAGCCAGTGCCAAAGTGGTTCAAAACATCAAAGTTCATGCTCAATAATCCAGGTAAAAAAAAAAATCTAAATCCAAGTTTTTTTTAACCTGGATTTTTGAGCATGAACTTTGATTTTTTTTTTTTTTTTTTTACCACTTTGGCTATGACTGCCTCGGTGGAGTCGACACAGGAGAGAGCGGACTCCAGAAACTATCTGAGCACCATCAAACTGGTTGGCCCAATATGTGAGTAAGCCACTTATGGAACTGAGTTTGTTGTAGCTCCTCATTCTGATGAAGTCCTTTGGATGAAGGATGAAACATTTCAACAACAACAACAAAAAGAAACCATCCAGAGGACCTGACTTAACTTGGATTGGTTGGATTTTTTTTACCTGGATTATTGAGCATGAACTTTGATTGTTCATGATTCCGTTTTTTGCTTTTTATACGTTCTGAGTGCGAGGATTAAAATATACTGTTTTATCAACTTCATTTCTCACTTTTTTTTTCTCTCACTTTATTCTCATCTTTTAGTCCAGTCCTGATGGGGCCCCTGGATCCCCGCAGTCACCTCTGCCAGACACCGACTCCTTGGAGAAACCTAAGCTTAAAGCCGGAGGCTCGGTGGAAAGCCTGCGGAGTTCACTCAGCGGACAGAGCTCAATGAGTAGGAAACCTCTTTATTTTTTAGAGAAGTAACTTTCTGATATGAAAACTTTCCTGTTTTAAAGCAGAGAAATATTTGTAATGTATCTACTTCTGTTCAATCTGAAGATGTAACACTAGATGGCGTTGGTATCAACTGGTGTTTGCCAAACAGAGCATGACTCTCATGCTCTAAATCATGCTGTGATCTTGTAGAAATATCAACCGTGTTTAAATTCCCAGGTCATGTTATTTAATTGTATTATTTCATTCTTTGTGTTTTGTGGATAAAAGTGCTCTTCAGTCCTCCTTTGGGCTGTTAAAACACTTCAAAACACAGAGATATGTACAGCAGTTATTTGGTGGAACGTCTTTCCTCTTCAATTCTCTCATGTACAAAAGTGAAAATGGCCTTGAGAAGCAAGAAAATGCTGGAAAAAATTTAAGTCTAACAAAGAAACCTAGTTATTGTGATTTAAAGCACCCAGAGACATGCATTTTATTATACTGTAACCACAAAGAGAAGTTTTGTAGACTATTTAGGTGGTGTTTATGTGGAGTACGAGTGCTAAACCACAGTTTTTCCTGCCTCTTTTAAATGGAAAATGACTGATTCATTTTAAAGTTTATCTAAATGTCCTTTCTGTGTCCAGGTGGTCAGACAGTGAGCACCACTGACTCATCAGCCAGCAACAGGGAGAGTGTGAAGTCAGAGGACGGAGACGATGAAGAGCCGCCTTATAGAGGACCGTTCTGCGGCCGGGCACGAGTCCATACGGACTTCACTCCCAGCCCCTACGATACCGACTCTCTCAAACTGAAGGTACGGCCTTTATTTAACAGCCAGAGTCACACCACATTGTAACTCTTACAACCATTTCATTTTTTTGACTTGATAACAAAATTAAACTGAAATTAAAACGACTGAGGGACATTTGTGTGGATTATCAGTCCAGGTGATGCTACGAGGTCTAACTACTTATTTATGTATTTCTAAAGGTCACTGGACTTCTGTTTTTTTAAAGACATTTCACTTTTCATTCATAAGCTTGATCAAATCAAATTAAAAGTTCTGATTACTAGCTTTAAAAGTGCAGTGAGTTGTTCTGTTTAAGCAAGCTGAGCTCACATGCAAATCACTCTTCCCACGAGGGTTGTTTGTTAGTCTGTTCCACATGAGAGAACTTTTGGTAACTTTGGTTTGCATCTTCACTTCATTCATACGGGGGTCCTAAGGTGTAAATGAACAATATCTGAAAAAAAGGAATTGCGTTTGAAAAAACAGAATTGCATTAAGCCAAAGCGGAAGTGGCCAAAGCAGAAGTTGCCGGAATCATATTTGATAAAACAAAATTACATTTGAAAAAACTGAATTGCATTAAGCCAAAGTGGAAGTGGCAGAAGCGGAAGTTGCTGGAATCATATTTGGGAGAAAAAAAACGGAATTACATTTGAAAAACACTGAATCACATTTGAAAAAATTGAATTACATTGTCAAACTGGAAGTGGTGTTTGTTTTGTTTTTTTGTGTGTGTTTTTTTTTTTTTACTTTATTAACAACAGTAAACAGAACAACAGAACAATGTACAGTACACACACACACAACAGAGGCACAGATAGCAAGCTAGCCTTTAACCGGTAGAAATGGAGAGCTATGTTTTGTTCAAGCTTAAAGACGAAGATATGATGCTGGAAAAACTCATCAGGATTAGGGTTAGGGTTAGAGTTTGAACAAAACATAGTGCTCCATTCCTACAGGCTAAAGGCTAACCTGCTATCCGTACCTCCATTGTGTGTGTACTGTACATTGTTCTGTTGTTCTGTTTAATGTTAATAAAGTAAATTTAAAAAAAAATGCACACAAAAAAACCAAAAAAACACCACTTCCGGTTTGGCTTAATATAATTCTGTTTTTTCCAAATGTAATTTGCTTTTTTCAAATGTGATTCCGTTTTATCAAATGTGATTCCGGCCACTTCTGCTTTGGCCTATTGTAATTCCGTTTTTTCAAATGTTGTTGTGTTTTTTCAAATGTAGTTCTGTTTTTTCAAATGTTCTTCATTTACACCTTAGGGCCACCGTACATTGATGTGACCGGTCCAACAAAAAGGCAATGAGCCAATGAGGGAGGGAGAGCGACTTGCAGAGATAATGCAATTGTGCATTGTTGTCAAATTCCTCTTCCATATTTATTTACCCAGTCGATTCAAAGCTGAACCAAATCTAACATCAACAGTTTAGGAGACACTTGATGTTGGTTGATTAACTGTTTTAACAACATACAGTCATGTTCAGAATGCTTCTGTCTGGTAACACTGTTAATCCTTTCTACCTGTTTCTCCAGCGAGGAGATGTGATCGACATCATCAGTAAGCCCCCCATGGGAACGTGGATGGGCCTGCTCAACAACAAAGTGGGCACCTTCAAATTCATCTATGTGGATGTCCTGAGTGAGGAAGAGGAGAAGCCCAAGAGGCCCGTGAGGAGGAGGAGAAAGGGCCGACCGCCCAAGCCCACATCAGTGGAGGAGCTGCTGGAGCGGATAAACCTGAAGGTGGGGTACCAGGAGCAGTGGATCACAGGCTCCATTATCTAGTATTTAATACAAGTTGTTTTTGGCATATGCTTTCAGAACAATTCAAGCATTAAACGAGCTCAAAAATCAGTTTATTGCTCATTAAAGGAAAGAGAACATCCAATTTTTTTAAAGTCACACAGAGACAAATATAGTGTAGCCAATTACAGGCTGCACGGCTTAGGATGCTTGATTTGACACTAACGCGCAAACATTAACACCCCCATTGTGACAGCCCTACCCCTTCAAAAAGCTTAGGTCTTTTCATCAAAACCTACACATGACTGTAAGCTGTCATCTCCTCCCACTGAGGCAGCTGACAGGCTTCACTTCCCCATATAGACATGGAGACTTCCTGTGGGTTGTCTGTTTTTATCTCTGGCCAACTCTTTAGTGGAGTTACAGAATAATGAGTAGTGCAGAGCTGTGAATCTGCTTGATCCAAGTGCATCTGGGGGGTGGGGGATGTATCAAGATAGACTAAACACAAGCAAAGAAACTTTGAATTTTATTTTTGCGTTGACTGTGTATTTTTTATATTTAAATTGCTGTTTCATATGTATATAGTTTGAAAAATGAGGATTCTTGGTGGAATCTGTTTGTTCTTCTCTTGGTTGATCTATACCTTTTCCCTGATGGTAACTGTTCAAACAGATCATGTTCAGGGTGACACGTGTCCTTTAAGATGTAATATATATATATATATATATATATATATATATATATATATATACACTAGGAATGCGTGATATATACAGTATATGGTAGAAACGATAAAAATTTAGCCTACGATAGAGATCTGTCTTCTACCGGCTAACCGCAGTAATGCTGTGTCTGAAGTAAAATCAGAGTTGTCACTTTAATCGGTACTTTTTTTTTTTGTTGAAAACTGTGCATAAGTGGTGTTCAAGTGTAAAATCAGAGCTGTCAGATTTAATCGTTACTTTTTTTGAGCTGAAGACTGTGCGCAAGTGGCGTTAAAGCTTTTTCTTCGAGAGCTAAGTGGCGAAGCTACAAGCTGACTACAGCCGGCTTGCCGTAGCGTTGCCGTATTCTGACGCATGCGCAACACGCTGTGTTCCATCGAAAGTTTTTTTTTTTTTTTTTCCCATAGTAAGTTAAAGTAAGCATTGGTCAGCTTTAGAGAAACCTGCTGTCTGATCTGTGAGTAGAACGCTGTGTTGTGTGATTTTACTGCGAGACACTCTGGTCAAAGCCACAGACTCATTTTGTGTCAGCTCTCCATTAAAGCTGAAGGAGACGCCCACTAGAGGGTTGGAGGATGAAGTGTTTCAGTGTAAAAAGCTGTTCTGTTGTTGTTCATTTCTTAAGTAAGACTGGAAACTCTTAAGAGTTAACATATTTTTTTGTTTAAAATATATGGCTAAAACTACATTTGATATCTTTTGCACTGTTTTGCACTACAAGAAAGGTGCCTAATACTTGATTTGTTTATTATTTAAAAGCTCTCTGAACCTAGTAGTGGAATTTTCTTAATTCAAAACATTTAATGGCAAAAGGACACCCTATGCTTTTTTTTAGCAAGTTTTATACTAAAAACATATTGCGATATATATCGTTATCGCCACCCTTCACAATACATATCGTGATATAAATTTTATGCCATATCGCACATTCCTAATATACATATATATATATATATATATATATATACACACACAGTATAAAAGTGCCCAAAATCAGAGTGAGAAGACCTTGCTGCTTGTGTGTGTGCTTGTTGGTGGTCCTTTGTTTAGTCCTGCCTCATCCAGCAGAAATAGCTCGTAGATGTACAGTTCACTCCTCTGTGTGCTGCCATTATACGTAATTTAAGGTCTGCTGAATGTTTTGGTCACACTATTGTAGAACAAAAGTAGAGGCAGTTATGAGTAGTGATGCCAGCTGATTGTTCTCACAAACAGGGTGTATCAAACTATTTGTCCTGTCATCTCCTATGTCTCAGATGCCTGGCTGTGTGTTTCAGTACACCACGTTGTCTTCTGTGGTTGAGGGTCTCTTTGATGCTCTTCTGTCAACCCTTGGTGTCCTCTCACATTTAATTTTGTTCTTTAATTTTTCCAACTTCCTTTTGCCATTTAGGATCTAAAAATATGTATTTTTTTACATTTAGATGACTGAGATTTCCTCAAAAGAAGCTTTAAAGATCATTTCTGTATCACAGGAGCACATGCCCACTTTCTTGTTCAACGGGTACGAGGACTTGGACACGTTCAAGCTGCTTGAAGAAGAAGACCTGGATGAGCTGAACATCAGAGATCCTCAACACAGAGCGGTTCTGCTCACTGCTGTAGAGCTGCTACAGGAGTATGACAGTAAGTAGGCCCAAAAGCACTGAAGATCTTTGCATTTTACAGAGAATTATGAAATCAGTCAATGGTGAACCTTTAAGTGTGGAAAAAAATAAAACAACATTGCTCATTGATATTGAGTTTAAGACAGTTTTCCCCACATTTTAAAGCCTTTATCCCTTAATGCAAATAGTGCTGGTATCATCCATCCATCCATCCATCCATTATCTTTACCCGCTTATTCCATTTTGGGTCACGGGGGTCGCTGGTGCCCATGTCCAGCAATCACTGTGCGAGGGGCGGGGTACACCCTGGACGGGTCGCAAGTCCATCACAGAGCCACATAGAGACAAACGAGACAAACAACCATTCACTCTCTCACTCACACCTAGGGACAATTTAGAGTTACCAATCAGCCTAACATGCATGTTTTTGGACTGTGGGAGGAAACCGGAGCACCCGGAGAAAACCCACGCATGCACGGAGAGAACATGCAAACTCCACCCAGAAAGGCCCCTGCACAGGGGTTTGAACCAGGGACCTGCTCGCTGAGAGGCAGCAGCTCTACAAGTTGCGCCACCGTGCTGCCGTGCTGGTATCATTGCACACAAATTCTGTGACAAACAAGTATTTCAGCTATAAAACTGGAAACAAACTAAACTAAAAATAACAGACTCTTGTGACGTGGCTGAAAATTTGACAGAAACTTGAAAATCTGAGTTTGGAAAGTATACATGTACATATTTTAGTCTTGGATACAACTGTACAATAGTTTTTTAAATTGTTTTAATTTAAACTAAGTACAATGAGTCCAACGAGTTCAAAAAAGATTAATTTTGTGCTTTCCGTCTCATTTGTGAGCAGGCAGCAGTGATCCGGAGCGCTCTGGTCTCTCGGGTTCCCAGGAGAAGCTGCTGTCCGACGGTCGAGGCCTGGTGGGTGACTCCCCGAGGGACTCTGGGTGCTACGAAAGCAATGAGAATTTGGAAAACGGTAATGATTGCTTCACTTGGTCACAGCATTCCTCCCCCACGATAAAACAAATGGGATTTACTTAATCTCTACTTTAGTCCTTATATCACTCCTTCAACTCCTGTGCTTGCTTTTACCCATCATGCTCCTTCCAATCAGCATCAGCAACTCTCTTTTTGCCATATCTTCCTCCGTGGTGCTTCAAACAAGACGCCCCTTTAACTTTGCTTTCACTCCACTTTTTTTCCCACTACTCTTTCCATCCTTTAGGCATTCTGTGCCCTCAGTGCCAAAGTCCACTTGTAGCTGAGAGGGAGCCAGGCTCCAGACTACTAATCCACCCCTCAATGTTGGGAAGACGGAGGGAGAGACTTGCCCCGGTGCGCAGAACTGTTCTAACAAGAACAAGCTCGCTGCCCAGTTGTGGACACGTATTCCCTGCTAACCCAGCTGTGGCTTCAAGGCCCACAGATGGATGTCAGGAAGATGAATGTGAGCTTATAGAATACTTCTGTTGAGGTTTTTCAGAATGTGGCATCAAGAAAGAAACATTTCCAGAGCATAATGATGTCAGTGAACACCTGTGTTTTCTTGCAGTGGTGATTCCGTAGGCTTAGAAGCAAATATACAAGTCAGGAAGCAGTACATTGCTACGATTTCACTACGATGTCACTTTTCATGCGTTTATATTGAATAATACATTGCACAATCACAGTATGTGCCTAAAGTGGTGTGGATGAAAATAGTTTCACCTGATAGTTTAAGTTTTAAATCTACTAAAACCCTACTGTCTTATGTATTGTTTTATTTTTTCATGCTTCTCTTGAGACGTCTGTGTCTCTGCATACGCCATCTTTTTCCACTTTCTTTTAATGGCTTCATAACTCATAAATATCTACTTTGTCTCGTTCCTGTCTCTGTATGGTCCCAGTGTAACTGCTGGTTTTTCCGTCATGTGTAACATGTGGCATTCAGGTGCACCAAATAAAGCGTACCATCTGCCGCAGAAGAAATTTTAAAAAAGTGCAATAAAATGATTTCTCTTAAATAATAAGAGGCTCTGGTGCTGCTTCATTTCTTTTTGGTTTTGTTTTGTCTTTTTTTATTTTTATTTTTTCTTCCATGCCACTCAACTGTTCTTATAGTCGCTGTCTAACATGTAGGTATTTCTTTTTGCAAATTCAGGGTTCCACAGCTCTTCGGTCTGTACAAATGGATCGTTTTAACTTATACTTATTGGTTTAGAGAGTTGATTTAGATGTTTTTAATTATTGCACATATCAAAACTTTTTTTCCTTTAAAACATTACTGTGGAGCCCTGAACATCTGCACTTTATTCAACAAATCTTTCTTTATCTAACGTTTCATTTCTATTTCAAATGGCTGTTAAAATAACTCCTACCGTTATAAGTAAACACAATTAGGTAATGATAAGTTTGTCTGATTTTACAATATACATTTTAGTAAAATACGTTTTTAAACTGAAGTTGTGAAATCACTACATCCACTCTTCTTATTTCGCTTTTTAAAATTTGAAGCAAGACTTGTCTCTTAACTTTATGTCTCAAACTGAGACCAAACTCACTGCCTAGCTGTGAATTTAGATTCATTTGTTGGATCTCTGAAATGATTAACTCTGTTAATGTACCTAAACGATTGTATCAAATACTTTGATACATCTGGGAGCTGCTTAAAGCATTTGGCCAAACAGCTGTTGACCTTAAAACTTTCATACCACTATTTAGTCTTTGGCAGGCCACACTATGTGGCTCTCCTCCATTTCATCCATCCATTCATTTTGCTCTTAAGCTGAAGGATAGATGGTAAGTTCTTCATCTTTTTGTTCTGTTTTGTTTTCTAAGGCATTTCATCCAGATGTCTTTTTGTGGAATTGCTACTTTGGCAACAGCAAATCTGCCGTTCAAACCATGGACCATAATGTTTATCCTGTGGCACTCAAGCATTTATTATTTCGTAAATACTGTATGTCTGATTTGGATCGTCTCATCAGCAGCATTCTTTTAACAGAACTGCAACCATATTTTTCCAAAGGTTATAGCAAATTATATAATTTGTGCAGTCAGCTTACTTCCACTGATTTAAGGTATTTGTGTTGTGCATATTATTTTTTTCTTACACTTATTCTGCCAATGAATGCAGACATAACTAATAATGAGAAAACTTGAAAGTGGGGAAAAAAAGACAAAGAGCAGTCATGAACAAATCTGAGTTCTTCCCATGATTAATAAAATAATATTTCTGTTAGTCTGTTTTTACATGAGTATAAAAGTTTTCACGTCTCAATTCTAAGAGAGGCCTTGTATTTTGCAGGTAAGAACAGAAAAGCTTCTCGTTCCAGTCGTTCACCAGCAGGACAGCAGTCTCCAGACTACCCAACGCTGCCCCTGACCTTCTCTTCAGACGCTTTTCAACATAATGGTCAAAACCAGCGCACAAAGTTCCCCAAAGGCTTCTTTGTTAAGCCTTCCCTGAAGGGCTTCAACTTTCGGGGGCTACGAAAAGCCCAAAGACAGTCCCCTATCCCTGCCAGCCGCAGTTGTGAGGAGCTTGATGGTCTCCCACCACCCACTGGACCCTGGAAACGTTCCCACTCTCTTGGAGATCTGAACTGGGAGCAGAACTTGGAGCAGAAACGAGATGATCTGAGGCTTGTGCTCAAACCCATACCCAGATCGGGAAACAACAGTCCCATCAAGGTGTTTAGGGAGGAACGTTCTCCAGTTAAAAATGTGACTCCAACAGTAAGCCCTAAAGGGAGAGCTGATAGACCACCCATACCCTCTCAACTTTCGTTGCGTTCTTCATGTCCCATAATCCAGTCCTCCAACCTTGCTCAACCTTTCTCAAGTCCCACTCCAAGTCCTCCTGATTCTAGTGCAAGTGGGGAGAGGGTCATCCTGACTCATACCAAAAAGCCTCCCATCCCTCCTCCCGTTCCTGCCAAGAAATCTAAAGAAAGACTAGTAAATGGTATACGTCATCCATCTCTATCCTTGTCTTCCTCGCCATCGCCCACGGCCTCCCCAACACACTCCATTAACCGTTCCCAACCAAGCAGCCCCATAATTCGCAGCTGCAGCCCTAGCCCCATACTCAGTGCCCCTGCTCTACCTGCCAAGACTATGAGTACGCCAGTGAGTCCATGTGCCCCTTCTTTGGCGTCATCCATAGGTGAAGAATCAGACACAGCACCAGCAGTACATCCTCCATGGTTGTCTGATCTTGGAGGTAAAATGGCTGTCACGAGGAAGCTTTCCCACACCAAGATGAGTCCTGATCTGCACACCCTGCTGGAACAACGGCTGCTGGCTGAGGGCATCAATCTGACTGAGGAACCTTACTCTGACAAGGTTAGCAATGCTTCAATGGAAACATAAGAAGACAAGAACATCATCTTTCAGTAGTTGGTCTTTTCATAACATTTTTCTAAACTTTAGCAAAGTGGTACAGTGGAAAGCTCAGTTTAAAAAGAACCACTTTGTTGTTGGCACACAACTGAAACATTTCAAGTCATATTTTCCACAATTACTATGAAAAGTCCAAGACACTTCTTGGCTAACTTGTTTGGCGTCATACTTCTTTAGCCCTTTAGTTGTGTGACATGCCTAACTTAACTCAGTCATAATTTGACTTTTACTTGGGTCCAAATTGTTCTTTGCTGAGACCAATAAAATAACAGCTCACTTCAGAACTCTTCAGACAGTTTAAAAAAAATGCCCAAATAGAACTTGTGTGCTTCTTTTTGTGTGAACATGTTGGGGTGAGGAGGTGTTTGTGTGTTTAGTACAATAATAAATAATGCTGCTTTGAGCCGGAGAGGAAAAGACTGTGGCTTCAGTCTCACTCTGATGCGGTTCAGATTGTTAAGTTTATAGGCTAAATCTTACTGAAGGCAGACGGGGTCATAAAAACTTCTGGCACTTATCAGACCCCAGGCTCAGCCTCTGAAATATGGTGGAGCCCCTAAGACTAGTAGGAAAACAACACACTCAAAAGGATGAGGTGCGAAAAAGTGCCTGAAACCACAGAAAAGCTCTGCTTAAAACTTGAGAGGCATGTTTTTGCTGTAGTGTGGTGATTTATTTAGGTATTTTTTGGACATTTACTATATTTTCCTGTAAATTTTGTTTTTGATTTTCAAACAAAAAATCTTTTCTGTAACACTTTTTGTAAAAGGTGCAAAGCACTCCACATGACTGGGCAAGGACAGTTTAGTCTGTTATTCAATAAATGTCAGATGTGATTGAAGACTATCACAAAGAGGAAAGTTTGGTTTTGAAGGCAGATAAAGATCTAATATTCTGGAGACTCACGTAAAAGTGGGCAGGTACAGCTGAGTGTCATCAGCATAGAAATAATCATGTACACTGTGGCTTTGAATGAACTGAGAGGAATAGCAGGGGGTCAAGTACTAATCTATGAGGAACACCACAGCTCAACTAAGCTATTAAGGATGCATCATTATAAAGGTTCTGTTTGAGAGCTATCAAATAAATTAAATAAATTCAGAGCTGAGTTCTTAACAGCAACCTATAGTTGTGGACAATGTTGTAATTAACTGTAGCAAAAGCATCACTCGGGTCTGTAAGGACATAAATGAAGACTTCTTCTCTTATCAGCACTTGTTAGTAGGTCATTGTTCAATTTGACACATGCAGTTTCTATACTATAATGTACTCTAAAACCAGACTGGAAGTGGTTTAAAAGCACATGTCATTAATCAGTATGCATAATATAAATCCCTTTTTCTGTTTGTTTACAGCCCACTTGTGTGGACCATGGTGTTTCACATGTTATTCCTTCAATGAAATCTCGATATGTGTGGTTTGAATGTTTCCATTTCCCCGTTCATTCATAACAAACTTGTCTCTCTCCACTTTTTCCACGATCAGCACGGCCGATATGGCGTCCCTCAGGCACTGATACAGCGTTACTCCGAGGACTTGGAGCAGCCTGCCAAAGATGTGGCCTCCACAATGGACCAGCTCAGAGTTAAAGAACTTCGTAAACAACACCGCATGGCTGTAAGGCAACAGACATTTTTAGAAAAAAAATAACATTGGGGAAATCTTACAATTTCTTATTAAATTTATTAGTGCTAGGCTTTTATAGAGTACTTTCATGCCAGCAGCTTTGTAGCTTATTTTCAGTGCTAATTTACTTTTATGTGAGAATGCGGGACTTGTTGAACAAGAAAAAATAAGTGCAATTGCTAGGTAGTCTAATATGATTGTAAGTTTATATCTGATGTGTTCCTCTCCCTTTGTGTCGCTTAGATCCCCTCTGGTGGTTTGACAGAGATGTGCCGAAAGCCTTCACCCATCAGTAACATCAGCACTGTGTCTGATTGGCTCATCTCCATTGGCCTGCCCATGTACGCCTCGTCTCTGGCAGCGGCAGGCATTGATACATTGAGTCGCGTGGCCTTGTTAACAGAGAGCAGTGTGTGGGAGGCTGGGGTGCGGGATGAAAGACACGCCCGTCGCCTGATCAGTGAGGCCAGATCAGTCGATGCACACAGGGAGATGCGATCTTAAGCTTGAAATCTACTGATTAGTCTGTACCATCTCATTTTAACTTGACCAGGAGGATGGCCACAGAACTGAAAGTCCACAGTTGTGACCACATCGCTATAATACTTCCTTTACTGCACATGTCAAAACACTTACGATGAGCTAACTAGCTCTGCGACCTTCTCGCTTTGACACTTTGCCCTTTCTTAAATGTTTACGGCATTAAGGAGTTTTTCCTAACAGCCAAGATAATATATCAGATGCCTTTAAATGACAAATAAGACTGACACTGTTGGATGGCTTCCATTCAGATGACACCTGCAAAGTCTTCAAATAAAGACTTGGACTTGCCTTTAAGGATGATAGCACACTCTTTTGTAGGATCAATGTGTTGATTTATTATAATTTTTTTTGATCCAGAAAGATGGTTTGGTTCTTACGTATTCTGGTAGCGAAATGTTTTCATCTTTCGTGGCAAGGCAGCATAATCTGAAAACAAAATCTGGACTTTTAATAAAGTAAGCCACTCTAAACATTGGATAACAGGTGACCTTTTTGTATCATTTTTCTGTATTATAGCATTAAGCACATCCTAATTTTCAAATGATCTATATGATAAAAGTTGTGTTTGCATATTGAATGTTACAGCCTTTTTGAAGGCCAGCTCTCAGTCATTTCTTAGACAAAACTGTTGACATTGTTCCTCTGTATTTCACATTTTACTGTAGCCTACATCTTTTTTCCTGCAATCTATCGATCTATGATGGACTCTAGCATCAAGAGTCTTACTGAAACCTTTTGGTTTTTTGGCTGTAGTAATCACAATCACCTTTTATGGAAACCGTATATTCCTTGATCTAAGAAAGGACATTTTCAATTGCCTTACTAATATGAATGAATTGCTACAATACGTAGCTTTGACTACATCTTGACTGAGACGGAACAGTGCCAAAACTGCAGTCTTTTATTTTGTTCTGAATTTGTTTACACCATTTTTTTTAATATACCCATGCAACCAGTTACTTTCAATGTACTGTACATAGATGTGGACCAAAGAAGATGTTTGAGGTATAATTTGAGTCTTCGTTCCAGCAAATCCCAGATGTAAGATCTCTGGCAAAGCACAGTCGTTGTCCCGTGTTGAACTTCTCTTGGATTACGTTGGACCATATTTGTTGTATGTGTTGCAAAGAGAAATTGATGATGCTCATGAGATCCAGATGACATCTTGGCTGTTGTATCAACATTTTTTGACTGTCTACATGTTTTGGTTAAAGTATTAGAGCTCTTAAGGAGCATTTAAAATGTCAAATCAGTTTCAGAGCTAAATTGGTCCCTTGTCAATAAGTATTGAAAGAAATGCTAAAAGCAAGCACACATCATACATCAGATGTTATATTCAACATTCAGCACACTCGTCTTAAAATTCAAATACACAGGAGTCAGACTGTTGGAATGTTTTTGGGCTAAACAAGAAAAAGCATCACTACATAGAAAATAACCAGATTGACCAGAAACTCTTTATTCATTCAGTTGTGTGAAACTGAGCACAAAGTAAAGCTTGTTTGTGTGTTTATTTCCTTTTAAGTTTAATCAGTCGTATTGTTCAATACCAGAAAAATTTCTTGGATTTCATATTTTAAAAATTGGTTATTGCTAAGTTCAGAAGTTGTTGTTATTTTCCTGCTGTGGGCACTTGAAAGTTAGATATTTGATGCCTTTTTTTTCTCTCTCTGCAATCAAAGTGGTGCTCTGCTCTGGGAAAGTGAGGATGGGGGGAGGGGGGAGTCAGGACTAACCAAGTAAAAGACCCAGGAACTGTTGTATAAAGAAATGGAAATACTGACACTGTAAATGCACTTTAGATGGTAATTCTAGCAGTTCAATAGGCAAATTTGGTTATGCTTGTTCCCAGGTCCCTAAATGGACTCTTGTCAGGTATTGTAAAGGGTTTCATTGAGTTATGCTGGGTTTTTCATCTTTTATGTTTTATTTTTATTTTATTTTATTTGCATTGAGTTCCCAATGCCATCCTATCCATCATAACTTCCACTTACTTCCAGTTTGTGTTTAAAGTCTTACAAAACTAAATTCTTAATTACATATATGAATGCTTAGCAGAAGTTGCACATTCTGTATATGTAATTAATATTTAAAATAACTTATTTTTGGCTTTTTCTTTCAAATTTTTTGTAATTAGCTGTACCATATGAATAGCAATACCTTTCTCCATGTTGCTCTTGTCAGTAAGAAGCTTCAGTATGTACTGTAAAATATATGTACAAAATATTTTATTCCGTTTTTCATCTACCTAATGATTGTCCATGCGGATTTGCTTGTGTATTGAAACAACAAAAGTAATGTTCATAACTATTTGTCATTCTAAAATAAAATCTAAAAACAGATTCTTGCTATATAGGCTGACTGATTGTTCCTGCGAGTAACGCACAGTAAAGCAAACGCAGTGAGAGAAAGATGTGGCACGGCCTGGCTTCTTACATTAGGCTTGTAAACTGGGTCGCTGTACTTTGGCCTCTCTCAATTAGATATTATAATTGAATATTAAAGTTGTATGTGTTTAATAATAAAGGAAAAGTACAATTGTTTAATTTAGGGATGCACGATACTATCAGCATGGTATTGGTATTGGACAATATTAGCGATAAATTTAAATATCGAACATCGACCATTCCATCAAAAAGACTCTCCAATATAAAAGGCTTCTGTTATAACTTAATTTTAAATTTAAGAAACTGTCAAGTAATGCATTACTACTTAAGCGCTTTTCACTTGTCGCTTGTGAACTAGTTGGATTTAGATTTGTGAAAATTTACAAATTTGCACTGTTCGAGTGTTGTCATTGTGTTAGAGAGTAAATGTCATGAATAAATTTAACCCTAACCCTATCCAAGTTGAAATGTTTGTCTTTTTGGCATCTGCATTTGGTAGCAGGCCAAATTGATAACGACCATGCAGAATAATGTATTTTAATTCCACAGCAGAGAAAGCTATGTAGTCTCTGTAGGTAGGTCTAGGAAAAAAATATTGGTATTGGTTATTGGCCAAATAAATTTTGGCATATCTGATATCAGCCAAAAATCCAATATTGTGCATCCCTAGCTTCATTAATTAAAGTAAGTTGGTCAAAATATCTTTGGTTTAAATTAACAATGATGTTTTTATGTTTTTGGTCAAAAAGGATAATAATAATCAGTAACCATTTTGACATTTTGTATGACTTAATAACAAACTCCTATACATTAGTGCAGAAATGAGGAGCTGCCAGGACTGCAAATAGCTCTCACGCACAATTAAAATAAAAAAATCACAAGTTCCTATGCTAGCAAAAACATGCTAGCAGGAGAACAAAAATAAAATGAACACAGCAGAAACCAGATTTGTTTTGTTGCGCCTCTTCAAATATAAGTTAGCGTTAGCATTACAGCACAACAAGCCACAATAGAAAGTAAAAAAAATAAAAATAAAATACCATTTTAATGGTGTAATCTCTTAATACTCTAAATTCAGCTTTTCCAAGTTCTGTGTGAGAAAAAAAAAAAAAATCAACTGAAACCTCCCAAAATCAGAATTGTGACTTGAAAAGGCTGAGATTTTCAAACAACCCAGACCTCTAAATTCAATACGGCTCCTTGATAAGTCGTAGCTACAAAATTAAAATGTCATTTACACATCTGTCAGTTTGTATTTTGTTTTATAAGTCGCACACACAGTATGGAAGTGGGGCTGCAGTAGCTCGATGGTCTGTGCTGCGGTCTTGTAAAACAATGATCAAATCTGTCATACGAGTTCACTCACTGTGGCAATGCTTGCAGAAGGGAACAGCTGAAAATCTATTGTTGACATAGTACTCAAGTACCATTGTTAAGAAGCACATTTCTACAGTATTGAATACATAGAACATACAGAAATGCATTATTCTTGGCTTGTATTGCTAATAGTTAACATGGGTACTGAGCACAAGAGCAAATATTACTAGTTTTCTGAGTCGAAGGCAAGAACGTCATTTTTAAAAAAAAAATCTAAGACCAATTTCAAAGGTATGTGGAATTAGGCAGAAAATCCTACGAGCCACTACTTCAAAAGAACAGCAATGACTTGTGGGACTGTTTATGATCCATTTATGTTATGTTTGCTACGTGATAGACATTCAAAGACAAAATTATTGTTGACTCTGTTATTTAACTTCTGTATAGGTATAAATGAGAATGTTGCTTTATTTGTTTGTTCCTTTCGGCTGCTCTCGTCTTCAGGAGTCGCCACAGGGAACTAAGTCGCACGAAGACTTGGCAATTGTTTTCAGGCCGGATGCCCTTCCTGGCACAACCAGAGGCCACCGAGCTACCACAGCCCTCTGCGTGGAGCAGAGAGCTGCCATGTAGGGCGCCCGGAGGAGCAGATGGTGGGGGTTAAGGGCCTTGCTTAAGGGCTCAGAGTGGGGCGAATGAGAGTGAAGGCAAGTATGGGTGTTTCCCACCCACTCTTTGATGTCAGTCTGGGGAATTAAACTGGCGATCTTCCAACCACAGGCCCAACTTCTCTAACCTCTGCACCACCACTACCCATAAGGATGTTGCTTTAATACTGGCAGTTATTTGACCCTATGACAAAAGTTCCTCCAACAATGAGTGATACTCTTCCACTGTCATCAGTTAGTTTTTTTTTTTTTTAACTACTAAAGACAGTGTTACATTGCTGTTTCTATACATATTGCAAGTATGCACTAGTTTTAGTACTTCTGAACATTAATGACGAGTTTAGTCTTCAGATTCAGTTTATTATTGCCTTTGTCAATGAACAGGATTCACAGACTGGGAACTTGCTTCGGCATAAAGGTGCAAATAAAATATAAAGGCTAAAAGAAAACATGTATACCAACCAATACAATACAATACAATACTCACACTCAAACTTAAAAATGGGTTTTCCTGCCTGTTTGCTCCTTTATAGTCTGTATCATCAAAGGTTCTGCTGATTTAGCCCTCTGAAAAAACAAAGGGCTACAATTTTTTTATCCCGTATCTGTCTTGTAATACCTCATTTAGAAAACTGTACACATTAGTTCAGGACCAAAGATGACAAGTTCTGCAACAGATCAAGTCTGCAAGTCAAATGCCTGATTATTTTTAGTTGCAGTGCAGCAGTTGTGTCGAGTTTGTCTGCTTTTATTCATGTCAGGAGTCTTGAATAAGTCCAGATCAGACTTTAAACAACCGCTAGATTGTATTTCGTTCCAAGAAACCGCATCTGAAATATTTTAATTTGCTCAAGGCTTATCTCTAAAGACGTCTGGGACCTGTTTGAGTTCAGAAAACAAACATTTTCTGAAAGTAGTTCAACAAAACTGAAGTTTTTGTTGACTTCACTTGTCATTATATTGAACAACTTTCTCCTACTTAGTTTTTGCACAGATACAGTGAATTCTTGTCATCCATCCATTATCATTTACCCGCTTCTTCCATTTTGGGTCACGGGGATCACCGGTGCCCATGTCCAGCAATCACTGTGCGAGGGGCGGGGTACACCCTGGACAGGTCGCAAATCCATCACA